TGATACTGCCTCAGAAACCCAAGGAGTCGCCTATGAGTTGGATCCAACTTCGTGGCATATAACAACAATGGGGATCCTTAAAGCCCTATTAAGATGCCTACAATTAAGGGAAAAAAAAGGGACAATACCAAGTATTAGCAAAGAGAGGTGGCACAATAGGAACTCTCATACATTGCTGGTAGGAACTCAAACTAGTACAGTTATTTTGGAAAACAATTTGGCATTTTTTTATGAAATTAAAAATACACTTAACATACAATCCCGCAAACCCACTCCTGCATATTTACCCAAATGAAATGTTCTCACAAAAATGTATATATAAATGTTTATAGTACTTATATTAGTAATCACCAAAAACTGCACAACAATTCAAATGCCCTGGGAGTAGATAAGCAAACTGGTTCATCCATATAATCATCAATAAAAAGGGCTGAACTACTTATATATACCAACAACTTGGATGAATTTCAAAAGCATTATGCTAAGTGAAAGAAGCCAGACTTAAAAGGCTATACACTGTGCAATTCCATTAATATAACATTCTGCAAATGGCAAAACTAGAGAGACAGGGTAGAGGTAGGGAAATGTTTTCTACGAAAGGGTGTGGAGGAATTTTCTTGAGTAATGGAACTCACAGATGAACTTTTTTATATATTGACTGTGGCAATGATGACATGACTATACTCATTTGTCAAAACACATAGACTATACACTAAAAAGGGTAAATTTTACTATATTTTAAAAAATGAAAGAATAAAAGAATGAGGGATCCTGGCAACAAAGAGATGAGACTAAAGAATTAGGTAGAAGCGAATCATGAAAGACCTCACTGAGAAATTTTAGATTTTATCTGCAAAGCAACAGGTATACCAAATGATCTCAAGAAAGGGAGAGACAAAATTAAATTCTGTATCCAAAAAATAGCTGACAACAATGACTGGAGTGAGGGCAAAACGGAGCACTTTGGGAGACTGTTTAACTAACTACTTCAGTAAGTGAGAAGATAAATTACAAGGACCTGATTAAGGCAGAAGAGAGCAACAGAGAAAGTCAGAGGTAGGAAGTTCTCAAGTTTCTAGCAACAGTGAAACCACTAACCAAGCTGGTTGCAAGAGAAGGATCAGTTTTAAACAAGCTAAATTTGAAATGCCCCATGGGACATTAAATGCAAACATCTGGTTAGATATACAGGTCTAGAGCTCAATAGAATAAACAGAGATGTACCTTCAGATTAGAGAGTCATAAGGGTATTTGCACACATGAAAATACAAGGTCAAGATCATGCAAAGATAGAATATGCCTATCTTAGGGACTCACCCTGAGCAACACTAGCATTATGAGTTTGATGATACGATTTTAAGTATAAAAAAGAATGGGCTTACTGAATATGCAGATGTAAAGTTAGAAATCATTATACCTGTGCTGCCTGTTTCAATTTGGGGGTCTCTCCACACCTTACGGATAAACACAAAGACAGACTAAAAATCAAAGGTTGGAAAAAGATATATCAAGCAAATGGCAACTGTAAGAGAGCAGGAGTGGCAATATGGAGATTCCTTCAAAAGTTGGAATTAGAAATACCATTTGACCCAGCCATTCCATTACTAGGTATATACTCTCTGGTGGGACTGTAAAATGGTACAACAATTGTGGAAAGCAGTATGGCGATTCCTTCAAAAGCTGGAATAAGAAATACCATTTGACCCAGCCATTCCATTACTAGGTATATACCCTAAAGAAGTGAGAGCCATGACAAGAACAAATATATGCACACCCATGTTCATCACAGCACTATTTACAACAGGCAAAAGATGGAAACAACCTAGGTGCCCATCAACTGAGGAATGGATAACCTAACTATGGTACATACACACAATGGAATACTATGCAACGCTAAAGGATAATACAGAATCACCGCATAACGTGGATGAACTTGGAGGACATTATGCCGAGTGAAATAAGACAATTACAAAAGGACAGATATTTTATTAGTCTGTTATTGTAAAGTTAAGGAAAGGTTTATCTATAGAAGGAAATTTTCTTTGTTGTTTACCAGGGTGGGAGGGGAGAGGAAGGAACACTATTAGATAGACAGAGATAAGTACTGCTTTGGGTGAAGAAAGAGCAATGTCCCAAATGTGACTTTCCATCTCCTACTTAGGTGAGTAGCGACTGG